CAAGCCCTGGTTGGGGTGCATTCAGGAGGCAACCAATCGATGTGTTTCTCTCACATCAATGTTGCTCTCCCTCTCTCTTCCACTCTCTCTAAAATCAATGGGAAAAGATCCCTAAGTGAGAGTTAAAAACATATACATAAAAAAAGCAGTTAACAGTAGTTTCATGTTATTATAATGTCAGTAAAACATTGAGTCCATTCATGTGGTCTGTGGTTGTCCAGAAAGGAAGGCGCATATAACCAAGGAGTGAAGCTGTTGCCTTGCATCAGCCTGTCTCTTTGTGTGGGAATTGTCACAAGTGCTGTCCTGCTGCCCCCAGGGACTCCCATTCTAGCCCTGCGCGCTGGCAGGTCTCCAGGCTCACTCCGTGCAGCCCTCTCCCTCCGGTCCTCTGCCATGAACTCCAGCTGCCGGGCTTTCCTGACCCTCAGCTCTGCTCCTGTCACTCAGGGAGACCGTGGATCCAGGTTTCCCTCTCTGTGGGTGGGGCGGTGAGAAGGCTCACTGGCTACTTCCCTTTCTCAGGGGCCGCTGTCCTGTGCTGCTCTTGTCTAGTGTCTGAACACTGCTGTTTGATATAATTGGTCCTTTTTGTTGTTGTTGAAGTTGGAGGAAAAATCCGCTCACTGGTGCTCCATCATGGTGGGAAGCAGACGTCTGTTCCTCTTTTTACATATTCTTCCTTATGCATGTCATTCCTATTTTCCTGATTTCAGTTGTTTTCAGGGGTACGGCTCCCAAATCTTCATATCTAGACTGTTGGTGGGAAGCAGACGTCTGTTCCTCTTTTTACGTATTCTTGCTTATGTATGTCTTTCCTGTTTTCCTGATTTCAGTTGTTTTCATGGGTACGGCTCCCAAATCTTCATGTCTAGACTGCAGAGTCACCTTTAACAGTCTGGTATATCAGTAAGGTTTACACTGTTTCTGAGCCTGTTATTAAATATATTTTTATTGACTTCAGAGAGGAAGGGAAAAAGAGAGAGATGGAAACATCAGTGATGAGAGAGAATCATTGATTGCTGCCTCCTGCACATTCCCTACTAGGGGTCAAGACTACAACCCGGGCATGTGCCCTGACCGGGAATCGAACTCCTGGTTCATAGGTCACAGCTCAACCCCTGAGCCATGCCGGCCGGCTAAATTCTCCCATCATTTCCCTCATACTGTTACTTCCCACCATCACCCCCATCCATTGCCTGGTTCCCATCTTGTGACCTTGCACGTAGACCGCTGCCTCAGCTTCCTAACCGGCATCCCCTGCTTTCTCTTCTCCCTGCGGCAGTGCAGCCCGCACATCACCACCAGAGGGTATTCCTACCGCACCCTCCATCACTTGGGAATCACTAATTCCCCCAGCAATAACTTGTCAGCTCTGTGTCCTGCAGTTAAAGTTCTTGACAATTTGATCCAACAGTAACTTCAGTTATTCACTTATTTATTCGGAACCTTCACCCCCGCCGCACAGACGTGCGCACTGCCCACTGTCCATTCCTGCGCCTCCCCCTGCTTTTCCCTTGTGAGTAGCAGGCCTTTGTGGCTCGTGGTGCGCTAATGTGGCCCATTGTCCAGAAGCCGGCTTAGCGTTCTCCTCTCTGTGGAAGCACGTCAACCCGTGGGCTCTTTCTTTGAAATCCTGCGTCATCTCTTTTTTTTACAACTTTCTAGGCCAGTGGTCAGCAAACTGCGGCTCGCAAGCCACACGCAGCTCTTTGGCCCCTTGAGTGTGGCTCTTCCACAAAATACTGACTTTTGCGCGTGGGCCACGAAGTTCCAATCGCACTGTACGTGCGCGCCCACACGTGGTATTTTGTGGAAGAGCCACACTGAAGGGGCCAAAGAGCCGCATGTAGCTGGCGAGCCACAGTTTGCCAACCACGTTCTAGGCAATAAGCTATGTTAGGATTATTAGCTAGTTGGTATTTTGTTATTTACCTCTTCTTTTTTTAAAAAAATGTATTTTATTGATTTTTTTACAGAGAGGAAGGGAGAGGGATAGAGAGTTAGAAACATCGATGAGAGAGAAACATCGATCAGCTGCCTCCTGCACACCCCCTACTGGGGATGTGCCTGCAACCAAGGTTCATGCCCTTGACTGGAATCGAACCTGGGACCTTTCAGTCCGCAGGCCGACGCTCTATCCACTGAGCCAAACTGGTTAGGGCACCTCTTTCATTCTTTTAAAATATAATTACTTGACTTCCAACCGAATTAAAATTCTTGAAGGGAGCGAGACCATGTTTTGAGCTTTTGTCTATTCCGTATAGGATCCTAATACGTATGCTTACAGGCAATCAGAGTTCCTAGGTGTTAATTGACTTAGCTTGGGAAGATGAAGATACTGTGCGCTACCTGTCATGCAGTACAATGGGTTTCTTTCTTGGGTAATTTTTCTAGTCTTGTACTATTGCAGCAGACAGTGACCGTAGAAAAATAAGTAGCATCAGTAGAAATCTATATTGCAGTATATTTGACTTGAGAAAGGAAACAAACTTATTACCATCGCTTTCCCTGTTTTAATTTTCCTTTCATCTGAAATATCCTTAGTTATTTGCCTCAACTCATAACGGATTCTGTTTTTCAGAACTGCTTTCAAACATCGTCATGTACTCGCCCTTAGTTCTTCAGAGTTGTTCTTCTAAAGTCACAGAGAGTTTTGACTATCTGTCCTTCCTGCCCCTTCAGACTGTGCAGGGGCTGCTGAGGGCGGTACAGGTGAGTGACCCCAGGAGCGAAGAACCCGGGTGGGGGAGTGGGAGTCCGATGTGTTTATGAATATGAATATGTCTAAGAAATCCTGTTTCTCTTGATTCTAAAACATTAAACTTTATATTAAAAGGGCAGGAGCCCCAGCCTAGCTGGTTTAGCTCAGTGGATAGAGTGTCGGCCTCTGAACTGAAAGGTCCCAGGTTTGATCCCGGTCAAGGGCACATGCCCGGGTTGTGGGCTCGATTCCCACTAGGGGTGTGCAGGAGGCAGCCAGTGGGTGATTCTCCCTCATCTTTGATGCTTCTATCTCTCACTCCCTCTCCCTTCCTCGCTGTAATCAGTACAAACATTAAAAAAGAAAAGTTCCTTAGAAAAGCCGAACAGTCACAGCATTGGGTAGCAAGGAGCTAAGGCGGATAAGCAAGCTCGTTTTGGTTTTACCCTCCATGCTTCCTCTTTCAGCCCCTTCTCAAAGTGAGCATGTCGATGAGAGACTCCCTGATACTGGTCCTCCGGAAAGCTATGTTTGCCAGGTACGTAGCGCCCCGTCTAATGTTCCTAGCAGCCCTCTCTGCCGCCTCCTCGTACAACCTGGTCCCAGGGCCGTGCGAACGCCTCACCCAGCCAGACACGTTCACCAGACGGCGTTGTGCGCAGTGCTCTATCTCACTGAGTCTCCAGGGCAGTCCTGCAGGGTTATTGCAGCTCCCACTTCACAGACCAGGGAACCTGGGCTTAGAGAAGGCTGTGACCTTCCAAGCCCAATAGGAGTTGGTGTTGGAGCCCAGATTTGAGCTTGTGATGAGGGTCCTCTGCTGTGCACTAGAATAGCCCTGCAGAGGAGGGTCAGGTGCCGGCTGGCAGCAGTTCTAAAGGGAAAACACCATTGAGTAGTAAATATTAGCCAGGCCAGTGTGGCTCAGTGGTTGAGTGTTGAC